TATTTTTCTCTTTCTTCTTTTCAAGTCCAAGCACTTGATCATCACCATGGCATCATCATCATCATGTCATGGTCTTCATTTGCTTGATCACTTGGAATGTGCTACCTATCTCATGATCACTTGATAAACTAGGTTATCACTTAGGATTTCATCAATTCACCAAAACCAAACTAGAGCTTTCACCCGGCACCTTTGTTGCTTAATTAGTATCTTTGGAAGGTGCTAGAGAACATAAATAGAGGGGTGTAGTCTTGGCTAGACTGATAGTTTTAATTCCGTACTTGTTTCGGTTAGCCGACGCAATTAATTTTAGAAAGGATTATTCACCCCCCTCTAGTCGCCATCTCGACCTTACAGTTGCCCACGCCGATGGGTACAAGGTGGTTTGTCGGTGCCCACAACACTATTGATGTCAGGATGTATGTGGTAGGCTCCATCGCGATCTTCTAGTATGGCCAATGTCGGCGCCTACCATATTGTAGGATAAATGTCGGCGCCCATAACACTGTTGGTGTTCTGACATGTCTGGAAGGTGATAAAGTACCCTTCTGACATGACCTAACAGTACTGTCCTGCAGGTGTGCATGGTACGGTCCTTGATATTGCGGTTGACTGGAGCGCCCTGCCTTACTTGCTCTATCTGTTTCCTAGGTTTTCACCGAGCAGGCATCCCCAGTCGGTCGTTTCCCAGTCGGCTCTGGCCTCCTAGTCGGAGAAGAGCTGTAAGCATAGGTTCGATGTACTCCCGGTCGGAGAAGCGAGTCAGAGTCGGAGGCGAGCATCGTCCCTTCTCGGCCAGGCCTTCCGGTCGGAGAGGCGGGCCGGAGTCGGAGGTAAGCGTGGTTCCTCCTTGACCAAGCCTTCTGGTCGGAGAGGTGACCAGAGTCGGAAGCAAGCGTGGTTCCTCCTAGGTTGGGCCTTCCGGTCGGAGAGGCGGCCGGAGTCGGAGGCGAGCGCCGGTCCTCTTTTGGCTAGGCCTTTCGGTCAGAGTGGCGGGCCAGAGTCAAAAGCGAGCGCGGTTCCTCCTAGGTCGGTCCTTCCGGTTGGAGAGGCGGCCGGAGTCGGAAGTGAGCGTGGTTCCTCCTTGGCCGGGCCTTCCGGTCAGAGAGGCGAGCTGGAGTCAGAAGCGAGCGTGTTCCTCCTAGGCTAGGCCTTCCAGTCAAAGACTGGATCACCCTTCTGGCCTATCGTTAGGTTTTTGGGCCAGCCCAGGAGTTGTGTGTCGTTCGCAACGTCTTCTGCTGGGCCGAGCTTTTGCTAGGAAGCAGGTCCATGAGGGACCCCGGGTTTATGAAACCGATATTTTGAGTACGTGAAAGTATGACATTTTCACCGACAATAAGGAAGACTTGTCGTCTGATAGAAAGACTGAGTTACCTGGTGAACATCATGTCCAACCTAGTGCCAAGTGGATTTGTAGAAACCTGCATTGAGGTCATCTGGACCTAGAGCGGCATTGCTTCTCATTTGTTTAACAATTCGTTGAAGTTCCTGCAAGTTAGGAATAGAGTCAATATATTCATTTGTTTGGTTTACCTAGTTGGTGTAGTTTGAGTGGTTGTTGTCCTCAAGCGGTACATAGTGATTTTGGGATGTGAAGATATTGCTGAAGTAGTCATTGATAGTGGTTGCAAGCTGCTGAGGAGTTGTAGATATGGTGCCATCCAGGTTGTGAAGGTGGGTGATTTGGTTGCATCTAGTTCTTTTGAGGATGGTTTGGTGGAAAAAGAAGTGTTTATGTCCCCTTTGGTAGCCCAATATTTTTTTTGTATCTTTACCGATGGAAGATGTCTTGTTTGGTAAGGATAATATGGTGTTGATGAGTGAGTTCTCTTTGGACTGATTGGTTCTGCAGGTGTGGTCGGTTGGCTTGTTGTTGTTCAATTGTTTCTAGCTGGTTCGATAGTTTTGGCTTAGATTTTCTCCATATTTTGAGATCAATGGCAAGAAATTTGGTTTTTTGGTGAAAGGGGCATCGAGTTGAATGTTGCCAGCTTGTCTTTGCCACTTGCTAGAAATCCTGATCCTAAAGCCACCAATTTTCAAACTTGAAAGGTTTGTTAGTTTTAGTCCGGTTGGAATAGACGACATCAAGAATGGGCGCGTGATCACTCCTCATCATGGAGAGATTGTAGATCGTGGCAGTTGGGAAAGTTGTACACCATTCTATATTTGCTAAACAATAATCCAAGCGCTCATAAGTGGGATTAGAATTGAAATGTTTGTTGGTCCAGGTGTAAGCCGGGCCACTGTAACCCAAATCAAACCACATTACTTAACCATGCAACAGAAATCAGAAATATGTCTAGCATTGACGGTCTAGGCCCCAGCTTTTCATTGGCATTCATGATATTGTTTAGATCCAACATTGGTAAGTTAGGATATTTTGCTACAAAAGCTTGCACTTGAGACCAAATATTAGTAGTGTTTTGGTAGTGGGAATCTCCATACATGTAAATTAAGCCAAAGTTCATCATGGCCTTGAGGCGAGGGTGGACTATGAGAGATAACTCCGTAGCTCTATTTCCTTGCTCTTTTCAGGTCCGCCCGGACTGCCTGGAGAGGTATAGTACTTGCTGTAGCTTGGGTGTCTGCAACCATTATAAGTAGGGTGAACTACGATTCAACCGCCTCTTCATGCACCCACTCTTGATTACTTGCAGCACGTGATGAAATTTGCAGAGCCTGCATGGACCTCGCAAGCTCCACATCAGGTGGGGCGAGTTGGTGGATCGAGGGATTTGTCAGTTGTCCGGGGGGGGTCAGATCTGGTGGAGAGGGTGGGATTGGTGGCGGACCCCTATCGAGAGAGTGATCCTTTTCCATTGTGGCAAGGGGGAACAACAACTTGGCCAGAAACGGGAGAAGAACAAATCGATATGGCTCCTCATCGGAGTAAAGCATGTTGGGGATTCGGATTAGTGAAGAGAAGAGCAGTGGAATCAGGCCGATGGGGGGAGGGGTGGACGCGTGGGGAGCTGAGTTGATATACCGAGCAGCGGTCCAATGAGGTTGGGAGCGAACAGATTGATGAGTAGGCATCGATTTGGGGTTGGTTCTGGTGGAGAGATCAAGTTGGAAGCTGAGTCGGAGAAGGTTGGGGTGGGGAACTGGCAGCCCGCCTACTTTCCAAGAACTCATGACCTAGAATTGATTTTGATGGAGAGAGAGATTGTTGTATGTGTGAGTGCGTGTCTTCTTTAAATGTGTCAGACAGGGTCCAAAGATGCCATTTCAAGATACTGTATTTTCTGCAATGATTGGAGGTCATGCATTGAGACCACATTTTTATAGGATAATATAAGTACTCCATTCTAAATTACTAGGGGCATACCCCTGTTGCTACAGGAATTGCGGATTAGTGGATTCCGTCGTATGGTAACATGGACAATAAAATGCTTATGTGTCTTGCTTGCGTGGGCATTATAGTTGCATGTACTAGTGGATTTTGATTATATGTGATAGTGCATTGCTTAGTTGGACAGCTTGCATATTGAGATAAATAGCCAGCGGGGTTGTGGGATCCAACTAGGCCAGTTTTTGCTTTCAGTTTTTACCAGATTCTTAAAAACCAGGAAGTTGTTGGTGCCCAGCTTTTATCAGTTTCTTGTGACCTTGTGAGCAATAAATGAAGCCAGATTCTTAAAAACTGAGGGATCCAAACAACCCCACCAGTTTTTGCTCAGAATCCAGATTTTAGTGACTAGAGGCAAAAATTGGTTTTTAAGAATCTGAAACTCATCCAAACAGGCCTTTAGTGGATTTTAATTGTATGTGATAGTGCATTGTCTAGTTGGATAGATTGCATGTTGTGATAAATAGCTAGTGGGATTTTGCTTTATAAGAGTATAAGATAAGATAAGATAAGATAAGGTAAGATAAGATGTCATTCTGATTTTTAGATGCATGGTTATATCTATCCACCTAGATATATATTACTCTCTCTGTCCAAAAATTAGTGTCATCCTCAATTCCTAAGAAATCAAACACTTTTAGCTTTGACCAAATATATATAAGAAAATGTTATTATTTATGTTGCATAATTAGTATCATTAGATGAATCGTTGAATATATTTTCATAATAAACTTATTTAAAGATATGAATGTTGCTAATATTTTGTACAGATCTAGTCAAAGTTGTGACACTTATTTTGGGACGGATGGAGTATGTCTAGACACGTAATAAAACTATATATTAAAAAAAGAAAATGACTTATAATTTGGAACTAATAAGTATAAAGGTTATGTATTTTGTGATTAGAATCATAAATTTGGTTCCAATCGTAAAATCGTACAACTACAACAGAATTTAAGAGTATATAAGAAAAAAAATCATAGTGAGGCGTGGTCGGTTGGAGGTAAGAAGGTGTCGAGACTCTGATGGTGCATTTGGAGAAGCGAAGGCAATATGGTATGACAGGGTCCTTGATGCGTGTATGATGGAAGTTTTGGCCTGCAGAGATGGAGTCCGAATGGCTCTGGATGCAGGGCATCAACGCTTGCACTTAGGGACCGGACCGATTGCCTGGAATTGGTACAGCTGTGGAAGAAGAAGGATTACCATCGCTCAATGGTTGGCCCTGTTCTTGAAGACATTAAAGATCTGAGTCGGGCTTAGTTTGCTTTTTTCCTTCGTTAATAGAGATTGTAATAAGATAGCTCCTGTATTAGCTAAGCAGGTCACTAGCTCACATCGCTTGGAGAGGTGGCATGTAACTCCAGCATGTGTTAGTGAACTGGTGATGTATGAGGCTTCGGCCGGCTAAAGGCAATACGAAGCAAGCATGTCACACACACACACACACAAAAAAAGCCACCTTTATTTGCGCATATTCAATATAGATTTGATTTGTTTTTGTTGCGCTTGTTCATAGATTGTTTGATTTGCAAACTAAATGGTAACCTTACACGCTTACAAATGTGTGTTTTATTTTTGCGTGCTCACTGGAACGGAAAAACCACATGATACTCCTGAGTATTCTGTACTCGGACAATTTAAGTCAGTGCTTTTTGGGCGCGGTCGGCACGACGCCTTCGTTGCCGGCGAGCGTCATGTACTTGTCCTTCCGGGTCAGCCCGGTGAGCTCGAACCCCAGCGCCTCGCCGAGCTCGCGCTGCACCCGGTTCGCCACGTCGATGCTGTCGCCGCGGCCGCCGTTGTCCGCCGGCGTTGTGGCGGCGCGCGGCAGGAACTCCACGCGGTACGCCGGCCGCGGGTTCATCATGAAGTAGAATGGGTCCATCCACTTAGCCCCCGGCTTGGTGGACGTGCCGTAGAACATGCCGACGCGCGTGTCCAGCGCCACGGGGTTCACGTCGACGCCGAGCTCGGCGAAGAGCGGGCTGAGCCGGAGCAGGTACTCCTCCCGGCACGTGGTCCCCTCGGGGCACACCACCAGGTCGCCGCGCGCCAGCACCGCCGCCATGTTGCGCTGGTCCTTCTCGCGGTCCCGCGTCAGGCGCGCCGTGCGGATCGGCGCGATCAGCTCCGACACCGGGCTCAGGCTGTACGTCACCGCGGTCACCGGCTTCCCCAGCGCCGCGGCGACGATGATGGGGTCCAGCAGCGTGCGGTGGTTGCACACGTACAGTCGCCCGCCGCCGCCTTCGCCGCGGCCTTGGCGCACGGTGGGCACGTGGCCGGCCACGAGGCGGTAGTGCATGCCGGTGAGCGCGCCGACGGGGAAGCAGACGCGGTACGGGAGGAAGGAGAAGGCGATGGTGCGGAAGACGACGAGCGCGATGCCAAACGGGAGGAAGGTGTACATGGCGAGCGCGGCCGGCGGCATGGGCGCGAAGGCGAGGCGGCCGTCGTGGAAGACGAGGGGCCTCGGGTACTTGTCCCGCGGCAGCGGTCGCCATCCCCGCGTGTCGGCCTCGCTCACAGCGAAAGTTTCCTGCACGCACAGATGGTGGGCACGTTGCACGTAATGTCAAGGGCGCTGGCGTGTGCCGTCACGAGGATCAGCATTCAGCACTGGCGTTAGTTGACTGCGACTATATTTATTATGACTAAATAAAATATATAATAAACCTTTTTTTGTTGCTAATTCAGCGAGGAACATTTTAATTGCTGATAATAATGTTAATGCAAATTACGGAAGATTATTCCGAGTCCGTACGTGGATTAGGTAGGATTTCATTTTCAATTTGATCTGATGGGGCTCCTGGTCATTATTCTTTTACAATTTTACTCCTAGCCTGGACCTCTGTTCAAAAAAAAATACTACCTCTGTTCCAGAAATAATACAATTCTAAGTTTGGTTAGAGTCAAACTAACTTAACTTTAGCTGAATTTGGAAAAAAATGATACTAACATTTAAGACTCCAAAATGTATATTATGAAAATATCTTCCATGAACATCTAATGATGTTTATTTAGTACAATAGATAAACGTTAATATTTTTTATATAAATTTAATGAAATTTAAGATGCTTTGACTAAGCAATACTCTAGGATTATATGTTTTTTGAGACGAAAGGAGTAGTTTTATAATAATATAATTTTGTTATGTGTAACTAATATATGAAAACAATAAATGATAGTTAAATAAAAGTTATGATTTGTAGACTGATGTGTAAAAAGTCTAACTTATTTGTAATTGGAGACCTATATTAAAAACGCTATACATGTGAGTTTCAAGCTATTAATGTTCCATGATAACCAGGACATCGCTTGTTCCTGGTTATGTTTCCACGATCAGAGTTCAAATTGTAGCAACTACTATAGGTGCAATTTACACACATATAAATGCTTTTAGTTTAACTGTTATATTTGCGATGATATGATTATGAACCAATTTATGCTAATAAAAAATTATTTTGCAAGAACATCGTGGTCTACTTTAATTATGATCCACGGAAGGAATATACTCCCCATCAAAAAGAATGTTATTTTAGTTTTCTACTAAATTAATCAATCTTAAGTTTAACCAAATTTATGTAAAAAATAACAAGATTTATCACACCACAAATAGGCAAACTACGAAAATGTATTTCAAGATGAATCTGGTCATGTTTATTTTGATATCATAAATACAGTTGTTTTCTTAACATATAGTCAAATCTAAGCAGATTTATCTTTAGGATGGAGGCTTAGAATAAAATTAGAATAACTTTATCTTTAGGATGGAGGTACATAAACGATGTGAAAGGCTAATTAATTAGGAGGTTGTGTATCGCACTGCTATATAGGCCAACATGGACTTCGACGTTAACAGCCCAATTAAGTAGTTTTCAAGCAGCAACTGCAAATGTTATTCCTAGTAATATGCTAAAAATGACCTTTGATGATGTGCTGAAAACTCATAATAATTTAATAAAATGTGAGGTGCCTAAAATTTATAGCGCGTCGTTTGGAGGGAATTGAACCTGTTGATTGAGTATGGTTAACCAATACCAAAAAGACACTTTCATGCATGACTAAGACTTGGAAACAAACATGGTTAACATGGACCCAAGGCTCGGTGACCCTAGGCTGCCGCTCGAGCTCACATCGGCGTCAATTCCCCTATGTAAAATCAGTGTTTAGCCTATATACTTAAGAGATTAGGCTTAATCTCATACTTAGCCATGAGATCCACCCAGGCTTATAGAAAGTTCTAGATCCGCTACTGGTTATATATACTTGTACACTCCTATGGTTTTCTTCATATTCTTACTACTAAAGTTCTATTTATTCCATCCGTTCCAAATTATAAGTCGCTTTGACTTTTTGATTCATCCATTTTACTATCTATCTAGACATAATATTGGCCATGTTCGCTTGTCTTAAAAATGGCTTGTTCGGCTTCTTTTTTCAGCCGGAACAGTGTTTTTCTCTCACAACAATTCAGCCGGAACAGTATTTTTCAGCCAGTTTCAGCCAAATTTCAGACCAGCGAACGGAGCCATTATATCTAGCAGCCTATTCGCTTGGTCGTAAATGATCGTAAATTTCCAGCTAAAATAGTATTTTTCTCTCACACCAAACCAGCCAGTAGTAAATAATCCACGATCATTTACGGCCTCCCGAACAAGCTGATGCATAGCAAAATGAATGTACTAAAAAAATCAAAGCGACTTATAATTTAGAACGGAGAAAGTATATATCTATGTATGATATCACTGTTATTAACTATATATACTTATTAACTTTATTACTTGTACACTCTATGGTTCACCACCAATGTTGACCTCCTAGTTCACCATTTGAAACTTTGGACTCATTTCCCTTACGCTACACCTCACACGACCTTCCTATATATGAGCCCGTGGCTAACGTTCCTACCATTATCATATACTCCTTTTATGTCTCTAAAGAAAGTCGTTTTGAACATCGACACGGTCTCTAAAAACAACTTTGACCGCTATTTTTTTACTACAAAATATTTATAAAACATGATCAATATATACTTTTATAAAACTATATTTCGAGATGATTCTACTTACATTACTTTCATATTTTCAAACCCAATCCAAAAGAATTTATTTGTAGTCAAAGTTTCAAATGTTTGACTTAAGACAACCTCAAAACGACTTTATTTAGGAACATGAAGGGAGTAGAGTTCTTTTTTTTCACCCACTATCGCTACACTTCTACCGTATTGCTTGACCTTTTCTCCTCTCTAAATAGTAAATGTTAAAACTACCCTAAAAGATGAGAAAAGCAGTTTTTTAAAACAAAAAATTATCTGGGTGTTATATATATCATTGCAACGGTTTATGCGTCTTCGGCGTACTGTAGCATCACGTATATCGGACGGTTAATGTTAGGAGAGTAATAAGCAATGCTCTGACGGTCTCACCTTGCAGTAGTAAGGAGAGAAAAGGCAGTGCACCCTACCGCTGCTCGCCGGTCCGACGAGCCCCACGGCGCCCTTCTTTCCGGCCACCTCCAACTCGTCGCCAAACAGCGCCCGGAGCGTCTTGGCTGCCATCTCGGCTGCGTCCTCCTCGTCCATCAGCCCCGCGAGGACCCCACCGACCGACCTCACCTCAGGCCCCACGACGGCGTCCACGCCGACGTACTCCTTCAAGAACCCGTCCACCATCACCCTCGGGAACGTCGCGCTCACCGCCACCACCCGCGCCGCTGCCTGCACAACCGCCACGCCCTCCGCCGCCGTGGCCTCCATGAAGAACTTGGGGAGCACTGCTCTGCCGACTCTGGCCACCTCCTTCTCCTCCAGACCGACGAGAGCGACCGTGGCCATGGCCCTAGCCCGCGCGCCGTCGCCGGGGAGGACGAACATCAGCGGGTAGAGCAGCAGCAGGAGAAGGCCCCGGAGGAAGCCGCCGGCCTCGACGGCGACGAGCATGAAGTACGGGAAGGCGGACACCGGCGGGCGCAGGATCCACGCCTCCACGTCGACCACTAGGGTCTGGCCATGTAGCATGTCCAGCGTCAGCAGTGGCGGCGGCGGCGGGCTCGGCTTCGTCGTCACCGCCATCCTGGCACGGTGGTGCCGACGACCGGCGAGCTTCCGCAGGAGGAGGAAGAACAAGGAGACCAATGGCTCGGACAATGATGAAGATTTCATGGTCATGGCTATCTATACCTTGCTGGGTAGGTACCCATATATTGCCTTCTTCGATCGCGAGCCGGCCGAGCCCTATAGTCTGTGTCGAGGTGTTGCATGTACTTGTCCTCCGGGAATTTTTTTTTATTTTTAACATTTCTTTTAAACTAATTTTAAATCTAATACTGTTTTTTTTTCAAAACTAACATTTTTGCCCGCGCCTATTTCCCTGGCGCGGCGAAACGCCTATGCCGCACCATGCATGGTGGCGCGGCGAGAGAGATGACGTGGCGACGACCGGGGCGCTGACCGGTGACGTGGCAGAGTCTGCCGCGCCACTGATCTTGGCGCGGCAGTGACTCGCCCTGATCGGTGGTGCGGCAGAGCGGCTAAGCGTGGTGGCCAGCCCGCCCACGCGCGACGCACGACGCGCCGTCCGTTTGTTCCGACGCTGCCCCCCGCCCGCGCGCCTACGGCTGCCGCGCCGCGCCCGCCTACCTTGCCGCCCGCGCCGGTCGCATCACGCACGCCGCGCCACCACCCCCGCCGCCATTGCCATGAGGTTAGCGCCCGCGCCTCCCGGCCCGGTCTAGCGCGCCGCCGCCACGAGGACGAGCGTCACTACCGCGAGGTACTCCCCTAGTGTATTTGTTGATTGAATAGACATAGTTAGTATAGTAAGTTAGTAAAATAAATAAAGTTAGTATAATTAGTAAAGTTAGTTTAGTTAGTATAGGCAATATAGTAAGTTAGTATAGATAGTAAAGTTAGTTAGTTTAGTTAGTACAGTTAGTGAGTCTAGTTATACATTAGTTGTTGTAGTTAGCCTTGTATAGATGTTAATATTAGATTAGTTATGATAGTTATACTTAGAATATGTATTAATATTACTATGGACATTGCGTACGGCGATTTCGACGGCTTAATGAAGTTTCTTGAAATGCTTTTGTAGATAGATTGTGGTTGTCGGTGTTTCGAACAAATACCGGCTAGTAAATTTATAATTGATGCGCGTTAGGCCCGGATGGTGCACTAAAGGACACGAGGTTTATACTGGTTCGGGCTGAACGTCCCTACGTCCAGTCTGTTGTTGCTCGTGTTATTAGTACCGAAAATGGTTCGTAGTAGGGGGTATAAACGGTCGAGAGAAGGACTAGTTCCAAGTCTCTGATGGAATGGTTGAAAGGCTGCCAAGAGCCCGGTGGCAGCTTGGTTGTGTGTGATGTGTGTTGTTGAGTCGTGTTCGTTGGACTCTCTGTGAGCTTATCCGTCCCTTTAGCGGGGTGCCCTGCTCTCCCTTTTATAGACCAAGGGGGAGCGGGGGTTACATGTTGGAGAACGGAAAAAACCTAGAGGCCAAGAAGCCCCTCCGAAGGCGTTGGACCCTCCTTTTTCGCTGAGCCAGCCTCGCTGACACGGCCAGAAGGTGTCAGGGTTTAGCACGTTCGCCGGACGCCTGTGTGCTGACGACGACATGCCCTTGCTGGATTAGCAAGTGGTCACGTCTCGTCCGCCCCTCCGGGCGGCGTGTCGAACAAGGGTGTTGACCTATAGCCCTGTGGGGAGCGGACGGCGTGGTGACGATACGCTCGTCACTATTGAGGGCGCTAGTTTCTTCTTGGACCGTAGTGGTTATCGTATATCTATGTTAGGTTCCACGTCCGAGGGCTGAAGGCGGCGCCTACAACACTATTCGGACCCTACCACGCCCGGAATGGCCTAAAGCGCCCATCCCGTCGTACCCTGGCGGTACTTTCCTGCCGCGGTGCAGGGCATGGTCCTTGGTGCTGCGTTTGACTCGAATGTTATGTCGTACCTTGTGCTCATCATTATGAAGGCACAGGGCGTACTCGTCGGGCAAGGCGGAGTCTGCCCTCGGCCGTCGGGCAAGGCGGAGCCTGTCCTCAGCCATCGGGCGAGGCGGAAATTGCCCTCGGACGTCGGGCGAGGCAGGCTCTAGCCTCCGGAGGTCGGGCGAGGTGGAGCCAGCCCTCGAGGGTCAGGCGGGGCGGAGCCAGCCCTCGAGGGTCGGGCGAGGCGGAGCCAGCCCTTAGCCGTCGGGACGAAGCGGGCTCTAGCCCCCGGAGGTCGGGTGAGGCGGAACCAGCCTTCCGTCGTTCGGTCAAGAAACGCAGTAGTGTTCTCGTCTGATCGGAAGTATCAACGTTCGATGGTCATTGGTTCCACCTCATTAGGTACCCCGGTATTAGGTCCCCGACAGTGGTGTTAGAGTTTTTTACGGAGGAAGTGTTAGGAGAGAAGATGGTATGTTTGAGGATATGGAAGAAGAATTAGAATGGTTTGATGAATCTCCTAGTTTCAACGACCTTTGTGTCCGTTTGAATGAAATGTTTGGCGGTGATTTCACACTAAAGGGGAGGTTTGATACTGGGAAGACTAGGGCACACTATGTCCTCATGCCCTTGCGTGACCCTGCTCACTGGTCCCGCTACACTAGGGTGCTCCAAGGTTCCAATGTGCCCATGGCTGAGGTGGTGGTGAAGAATGGGTACAGGATGCAGGGTGTCCTGGACGGGCCATCCATTGACGGTGTTGGAGGCAATGAGCAAGAATTAGGGGTCGAAGGGGAAGCAGCTCAGGGTAACATAGATTTGGACAGTTAGTTGACGCAGGAGCAGTTTCATTCAAGTCAAGTAGGTTGTATAAGCAATGATTTTGATGTGAACGAGTTCGAACTAGAAGAGGAGGAGCAGCAGGAGGAGGATATGATCGGTGATGTAGTTAGCAGTGATTCAGACGATTCAGATGGTGACTAGGGAGATAGACATGCTATGCCCACACTAGTTGATGCCATGCCAGTACCTATTCATGGTATGCCATTACCAGTATCAACTGAGGTTTTGCATGCTATCCAGTCTCAGGATAGACTAGTCATAGATTTGCCAGCAGATGATACCCCCTATGATTCATGGGGCAAAATTAGCGAAGCGCAGTAGTATGTTCCACCACCACCTTACACAGCGACTGAGCTTGAGCAACTATGGTCGATGAACGTACCTTTCAGGGGCATTCCGAACTATAGGGATGTCAGCATGACGGATATGATAGTTTGTGACACCAGTCTCCAGATATGTAGGAAATCATTATATGACCATGAGAAAGAAACCCTTAGGAAGGGGTAGTTGGGAGGAAGCGTACAACAGGGTGCCCCGCATCTTATGTGCAATGCATTACTACAACCCTAGCTTGAAATGGTTTGTGGACACCGGAGGGATGTGTTTTCAGGACCTGTTGAGGCATGTCCTCTATCGTGTGTTCTGATTGTTCACACAAACGGAACATGCATTCCAGTTTTGTCGGCCAATCGTACTTGTTGATGGCACTTTCCTGACAGGAAAGTACAGGGGCACCTTGATGATGGCTGCTGCTGTTGATCCTGAGGACCAGATAGTACCCATGGCATTTGCTTTGGCAGAGGGAGAGAACAATGAATCATGGTCATGGTTCATGCGGCTTCTATGTGTACAAGTGCTTGGCCCATCTCGCACTATATGTTTGATCTCGGACCGTCACCCAGGGCTTCTTAGTGCTGCAGCTGAGCATATAGATGGGTTACCGCCTCTAGTGCATAGATGGTGCATGAGACACTTTGCCGCTAATTTCTGGCGGCGTTAGAGGAAGTAGGAGGTATGTGACAAGGTAAAGGCTCTATGTTGTGTACGTATAGAGCACCAGTTCAAGGAGACAAAGAGAGAACTAGACAAGACGCTAACTAAAGCGGAAAAGGCCTGGTTAGAGGCGTAGATGGAACAGAAGGCTCAGTGGGTGTTAGCATATGATGAGGGGGTTTCAGGTATGGCGTCATGACCGCTAACTCCTCGGAGTCCTTCAACCGTGTATTCACCGGAGTTCCATCGTTGCATGTGTCTGGAATTGTTGAGTTCTTCTTTCATAAGTGCAACGAATATTTTGTCAAGAGGTGGCAACCTGCGCAGAGGAATATAGCTGAGCAGGGGCGTTTTGGAAAGGCCAGAGCAGAATATTTGAAGGAGGCCGAGGAATTGGCCAAGCAGCACACCGCCGAGCCGTATGGACCCCACCGCCATATCTTTAGTGTACGGGGCCAGGGTGGCACAAGCTTGGGCGACGAACGTTATGGTGGACGAAACTACCGAGTTGATCTTGAAAAGGTACAGTGTAGTTGCAACGTCCCTCAGATCATGCATGTCCCTTGCTCTCATATGATCACGGCCTGTAGGGTTCGCGGGTACAACTATGAGGATCTGCCATATATGTCACCCTTGTATCTTCGTTCGAACACCGTTAGTATTTGGGAGATGAGCTTCGAGCCATACCTTGACCTGACACAGTGGCCACCTTATAATGGTTATGACTACGTGCCGCATCCGGATCTAATGAAGGTAGGAAAGGGTAGGAGGAAGAAGAAGCGACTTAAGGGGACATGGACGCTATGAGAGGGTATGGCGAAGACATGTACAGAGGGGGAGACTTTAACGAGACCTGTGGCAGGAATCTTTGCTCCATTTGTAAAGACCCTGGTCATAAGGCTAAAGACCCTGGTCATAAGGCTAGCAGGCATAAAAGACGAGGGCAACAGGTCCATACATAGAAGTTGCTTATTTTCCTAGTGAAGTTTTTTAATATGTCTGTTAATGTTACTTTAAATATAAACATGTGCTTTCATATTGTGTTTGTATTGCATAACAAGTAGTTCAAATTTTGCAATGCTACATAATGTTAATTTGAATATTATTAATTTGTATACTCTAACCCTTTGTTTATCAATTTGTAACATGATGGCCCCTCCCACGCAGCACCAGTTGTACCCCCTTCTTGAGGTGGAGTACGACGACCCACACCGAGCACACTTCTTGACTGACACCGACGCAGAGGTGGCCTTGCCTCCTTTGACGCCCCACACCGACGTTGGCTACACTCCCACTATGTTGCCTACAAATCTGAAGAGACAGATGCGTCCGAGAGATCCTTACACTCCTGGTACTTAGTTGGTTATATCGAACAAATATTGTCGTCCGAAACTTGCA